CTGGAAGGGACCTTAGTACATGGAATGTCAGAGCTGGAAGGGACCTTAGTACATGGAATGTCAGAACTGGATGGACTTTAAAACTCAGAACATTGAATCATAGAATGCTGGAGTAGAAGGCACTTGAAAACACAGAACGTTAGAGTTGGATAGGACCTTAGAACACAGCATGCTTTATAAAATGCCAGTACTGGGAGTGCTCAGAAAAAGAATCATATGATGTATAGAAAGGACATAGGACATAGAATGTTAAAGCACAGAAAAATAAACACAATCCTAGATAATGTCAATGCCAACTGTCCCATTTTAAAGGGGAGGAAATTGAGGCCAAGACTTAATTCTCACATGGCTAGTCAGTAGTACAGCAGACAATTTTCCAGTTTTACAGATTGTAAAGCAGCCTGGCAAAGAGACATCCACTCACTTATGTTGTGTGATTAGTAAAATGTAGGACTTTCAGTTAATTTACAATTGGAAGACCAATAAGGGACAGAGAGAAAAAAGAAAAATCAAGTTTTATGGTACTAGGCATGTGGCTCAGTATACTCATGTTTAAAGTAAAAATATTTTTGTCTATTTCCCTAATTTAAAGAGTTGTTATGAGGAAAGTCCTTTTTTTCTTTTCTTTTTCTGTCTTTCCTCCCTCTCCCTCTCTTCCTTCCTTCCTCCTTTTTCTTTCTTTCTTCCTTCCTTCCTAGCTATGATTTCATAGATATAGGGAGTTTCCACTAAGGAAACTTTCAATAAAGATTGGCTGGCAGAAGAAGTTCCACAATTTATAGTCTTTAAAATTTTTTTTTAATTTTTGGAGGCAATTGGGGTTGAGTGACTTGCCTAGGGTCACACAGATAATAAGTATCTGAGGCCTCATTTGAATTCAGATCCTCTTGATTCCTGGGCTCTATCTACTGCACCACCTAGCTGCCCCCACAATTTATAGTCTTAGAAAGGTGCCTAAGATCACTGAGAGAGTAGCTCAGTGGTTTGCCCAGGGTAACAGAACAGGTGCAGTAAGGGGCAGAACTTGAACCCACATCTCCCTGAGTTTGGCAGCTCTATCTACTGTGTATTGCTGTTTCTCTTGTGAACCTTCAAGCATTATAATAATGTGGGTATTTATTATCACTCTGCATTATTTTTCATCTGTCTCATATGTCAGCGTTCTGCTCACCCAGAAGGGCCAGCTCCAGATCTTGTGATGCCGAGGACAGCCAGCCTTCTTCCCACTGCACCACACTGGCAGAAACCCAGAACCAGAGCTTGTCATTCTCTCACACACCCCACAGAACCTAACAGACATGGTCCTCACCAGTCATACTCATGGCCTCTTGCCACTGTTCTACTTTCGGCCACTTTTTCATTCCTTTCCTTCTTCCCTCCCACCAGCAAGGACTGTGCCAGGCCAGAGGATGGAGAACTTGGCCGCGATCTGCTCACCTGCTCGGCAGAACTCATCCGCCTCCTGGTGCACCATGTCTTTGACCCGGCTGCCATATGGTAGGCGGGCATCTTGGTCATAGGCCTTCAGGGTCTCGCTGGAGCTGTAGGACTTTTGGGGTACTTTGCCCTCTTCGCTTTCTGCTGAGGAGCTGGTATAGCGGCGTTCAGTGTCCCGGCGCCTGGTCAGGGAACGGTACGGCTTCCTTTCCTTCACATCCATGGCACCCACTGCAGGCTTTTCAGCATCCAAAAACAGAGTCCTCGTAGCAATCAAATCAGAATCTTCTGTAGGGGAGAAATAAAAGAATCAGGGTGACCTTATGCCAGGGAAATTACTCGAGGGCTTCCCTTAACACTGGCTTCCAAAGCTGTGCTCTCCAGCTCTGCCTGTGACTTTGAGGAGCTGCTCAGGGCATCTTCAGAGCCCCAAACTATAGCAACTCAGAGCTGGAAGGAACTTGATAACCTAGCTGATTAGTGCAGAGAACACGGAACATTAGAGCCAGAAAATGACCTTAGATCACAGCATTGTAGAAAGAGAACATAGAATAATAAGAACCATAAAATACCTTAGAATGCAGAATTTTAGAACTGAGAATGTAGATTTTAATAGTTGCAAGGGACCTTAAAACACAGAACGTGAGAGCATAAGGATAAAACTGAAAGGAAATTCAGAGTATAGAAATAGAATTTTATAGCTGGCAGAGACCTTTACAATCATCTAATCCAATAATGTCATTACACAGGTAAGCAAAAAAAAAAAAAAAAAAAAAAGCCAGAGGAGGGAAGGGCCTTGCCCAGAGTCACAAAGGGAATCAGTTAATGGCACAGCAGGGACTGGAAAGCTGGGTCTTCTTACCCCTAACCTGGTACACTGACCATTGCACTTCACTGTCTCATGGTAGTCAGAGAGTAGCAACTGCTGTGACTGTCAGTTTTTGTTTTTTTTTTTTTTAATTTTCACATTAGTCATGTTAATTAGAACCAATAGGAGGAACCACAAGAAAGAAGAACAAAACAAAACGGAAGGAAAAAAAGAGCAAATAGTATGCTTCGATCTGCATTCAAACTCCATAGTTCTTTCTTTGGATGTGGTTAGCATTTTCCATCATGAGACTTTTGGAGATGTGTGACTGTCAACTTTAAACATACATAAAAAACATAAAAAAGATAACAAAAATAACCCATACTCTTTTTTTAAAAAATTAAATTATTCTTTTCTTTTGAGATTGGTTCTCCCTATCTTCTCCATGATGGAAGGTCAGTTGTTACTCAAGGCCCAGCACCACTACTGAGCAGCACAAATCTCTGAGCCACTCTGTGTCCTCCCTGGGCAAATTTGTCCCTTGTTAGGCGACCTCGTGGCCCTGCTGCTCCTGTGGATTCATCATATTGGTGCCAGACTCAGTGTAGACATCTGACTGGTTTTACTGCAATTAAGAACACTGGAGTTCAAACGATCTGCCAGCCTTAGCCTTCCCTACCAGCAGGGATCACAGGCCTATACCACCACACTTAGGCAATGACCTGTATCCTTGAGAAACAAGTAACTTGATAGCCATTTTGTTCTTTCTGTAAATGTGCAATAATATCAAAGATAAGCATCAGAAAGAGTATAGTGGTCTAGTTTAGGAAAATATGTGCTCATAGCTTCTAAATTTTAATTAAAGAAATTGCTTTTAAGGTTCCCAATAGATCTCTGGTTATACTCAAAGAAGTCATACATTTGTCTCAAATTTCTGTTGCAACGCTTAAACAGAGTTGCACTGCCCAGCTCCATTTAACAGTAAGTAAGATGAGAAGTGTTTCTTATCATTAAAGAGACAGCAAAGAAGAGAAATGGAGTCACACGAAATGTGTTTGAGTTTTAACCTTTATAGGGTCAGGGATGCCTTTGGCAGTCTGATGAAGCCTATGGATTCCTTCTCAGAATAATATTTTTAAATGTATAAAACAAAATGTACAAGATGAAAAAGGTAACCAATTACATTGAAATAGTTATCAACATATTAAAAATAATAAAATTAAGGTTACAGACCCCAGGTTTAGAACTCCATTCTAGATTGACCATTCTACCAATGTGACCTGAATCAAATGCCTGATCAACTCGAAGAATCTATTTCATCATGTGGGTGATGGAAAGAATAGTTCTTCATTACTGTTTCATAGGGGCAGCTTGGTGGTGCAGCAGATAGAGTACCAGGCCTGGAGTCAGGACGACCTGAGCTCAAAACCAGTCTCAGACACTTACTGGGTGACCCTAAGCAAGCCACTTCATCCTGTTTGCCTCAATTTCCTCATCTGTAAAATGAGCTGGAGAAGGAAATGGCAAACCACTCCAGTATCTTTGCCAAGAAAACCTCAAATGAGGTCACAAAGAGTCAGACACAACTGAACAAGTCACTTAACCCTGTCTGCCTCAGTTTTCTCATCTGTAAAACGAACCGGAGAAGGAAATGACAAACCACTCCAGTATCTTTGCCAAGAAAACCCCAAATGGGGTTACAAAGAGTTAGACATGAATGAACAATGACTCAATAACAAATATTTCACAGGGTTGGTGCAAAGGATTAGGTTAAATAATAAATATATGGAATTTTTCATTTTCCAAAAATATAGATGGAAACCCTATATCAGAGAAAAGGATCCAGTCTTTGAAACTTGATATAGTTCAACAGGGTTTACCTGGTAGTGAGCCTCCCCAAATATAGCCAGGCTGGTCTTCTGACAGCAGATACTGGACATACGTGTTAAACCCTTCCAGATTGGTAGGGCCCACCAGAGAAAACACAGTCATCTCCAGGCCACAGTGAAGACTTAACTATTTAAATGGAAGCTATTTTTATTATGGGAATATCATTATGGCTATTATTATCAGCACCATTATTTCTTTAAGGAATCTGAGCACCAAAGATACCAGCTAGAAGTCAAAGGTTGTTCAATTAGCAAAATTAAAAAACACTTGCATTCCTTGTTGTCTAAGCAAAGGCCAAGTGGAAAGGATCATTTAGAATTTTCTTTACTTTCCTCTCCTCTCCCACCTCCTTCTCCCCTTACTAATTCTTCTGATGCTTGTCCAAGTAGTTGCCATTTTCTCCCTCTTGGAATTACTTTTTATCTATTTTATTTTATTTTTTTGCTTTTTGGTGAGGCAATTGGGGTTAAGTGACTTGCCCAGGGTCACACAGCTAGTAAGTGTCAAGTCAAGTGTCTGAGGCTGGATTTTAACTCAGGTCGTCCTGACCCCAAGGCCGGAGCTCTATCCACTGCGCCACCTAGCTGCCCCTTTTTATTTCTTTATATGTGTTTTGGATTGACTTATTTAAGTACATGGTATATCCTTGACCCCCTTCTTCCACTGGGGAGCTTGGTAGTGAAGTAGATAGAATGCCAGGCCTGAACTCTGGAAGATGAGTCTTCCTGAGGTTAAATCTTGCTTCATATACTTACTCACCTTATGACCCTGGGCAAGTCACTTCACTCTGCTTGCCTCAGTTTCCTCATCTGTAAAATGAGCTGGAGAAGGAAATGGCAAACCACTCCAATATCTTTGCCAAGAAAATCCCACATGGGGTCATAAAGAGTCAGACACACCTTGAACAACAACAATCTCTTCCACTGGTACAATGTAAGTTCCCCAAAGCCAAGAATACTTTCATTTTTTGTCCTGGCATCCTCAGTGCAAAGCAGCTACCTAATAAGATGTCTGTTGGATTGGCTTGTTTTCCTTTCGTTTCTGCTTACCCTCTTCTTTTCTCCCCTTCTTCTCTGGAGGGGGAAGTCTTTTGTCCCTATTCTAGAATGACATCACTTTTATCTCAGTTCTACTTCTTTCTACAATTCAGGCTTCAAAGAGTAAATCAGTAAATATTTATTTTTATGACCAGGCAGGGCATTGGCAATGTTCCATTTGACATTCAGCATCAGTGGAAGGAAGAAATCCAGAGGAAAAAATGTGGCGGGGGAAGACAGATCTCTTCAGGCTAGCAGGCCCACTCAGGGATGATGTAGCAGAGGTCTTCATAACAGAGTCATGTGATTAGTGAAAAGAACGCTGTTCTCTAAGGCCTCTTTCAAGCCCCAAATCATATGATCCTAAGACTAGGAATTAGCAGACATCACTATGTTAAGTTGTTTTTCAGTTGTGTCTGACTCTCCATGACTCCATTTGGGGTTTACTTGGCAGAGATACTGGAGTAGTTTGCCATTTTCTTCTCCAGCTCATTTTACAGATGAGGAGACTGAGGCAAAGAGGGTTAAGGGACTTGCCCAGGGTCACAGTAAATATCTCAGGTCAGATTTGAACTCAGGAAGAGAAGTATTGCTGACTCCAGGTCAGGCGCTCTATCCACCGTACCACCTAGCTGCCCCATCACTATGGGCTATGACAATAAGTAGCTGTGTGACCTAGGAGAACCCAGTTTTCTGTCTCCAGTTTTCTCATCTGTATATGGCAGGACTGAGCTAATGATATACAGGCCAATCTCTTAATGTTATAGAGGAAACAGAGGCATAGAGAGTCTAAGTAATTTTCATAAAGATCACACAGTTGGTACAAAGCCTAGATTAGAAGCCAGTAGTCTGTCAACAAGCATTTATTAGGTGCTTACTATCAGCCAGGGACTATATTATTCAGGACACAAAGAAAGGCAAACAACACAGTCCCTGCCCTCAGGGAGCTCCCATGTACAAACGATACTCAAATAGATCCTGTATACATGATAGATATGGCATAAATGTAGTCTCAGAGGGAAGGTACTAGCAGTAGTGGGTACCAGAAAAAGCCTCCTGGTGAGGGTGGGATTTAAGTCGAGGCCTGAAGGAAGCCAAGAGGCAGAGATGAGGAAACACAGCATTTCAGGTATGGGGGACAGTGAGTTTTCTATCACTGGAGGTTTTCAGGTAGTGGTTGGATGATACCATGCCAGTGGGGATTGAATAGACCATCTCTTCCTGATTCTTCTTCATCTCAGAACTTAAGATTCTATGATATGATCAGAAAACTGCTGAAGAGCCTTTGGGCTCAGGAAGGTAATGGGGGAGGGAGCACAGTATGAAGTCCCAAGGTCCTGTTACCTCTGGACACAAGCATGGCTGAAAGAATAAGGACTTAGAAAGATGCCATCAAGGCAATCACTGTCATTGGCCCTAGGACAGCTGTCCTCAGCCAGCCCCTCCATTTATGCTGGGCCCAAGACCTTAGCCTGATGACCACAAAGCCCAAAGCAAAAGCTTTTTTCCAGGGACACAGATGACA